ATGCGGAGCTCCATGAGAAGCATTTTCTAGTCGTGTTTTGCAATTTGTCATGATCCAATCAGCATGGTATGCTAGATCTGTGATGCTGCTGAGCTAGCTCAAACAGCACTACACTACGAATCCAAATTTGTCATGCAAAACGGCCAAAACTTGTGGATTTGTCTAGCCGATTCCCCATCTTGACTCTGGTGTGGGTACGTTTTTACTCAGGATACGTGTTGGGCACGGTGGTCGGTGCGATGGACGGGATAGTTCGGACGGGAGTAAACGCCGCGAAAGCGGTCGTCGACTGGGGTTTCAACATGATCACCGACCCCGTCAACACGATCAAACAAACTTGGAACACAATCAAGAAATTCGGGACCAACGCCTGGAAGCTGATCTCCAATCCCGACGTTTTTCTCGATCCCTACAAGGGCCCCCTATCAAATGCAAAAGTGTCTGGGTCTGGAAGATTGGAACTTGTGATGCTAACTTTGGACTCTAAAAAAATCTGTATTGCATGACCAGCAAGAGGAGTCTAGTTTGTGCTACGCGGGGAGGGCGTTTGTCATGCGGAGTAAGCATCAGGAAGGGTTCTAAAAGTCTGTGATGGTAGGGCATGCATCACACACAATCCTGGGTCATGCAAAACATGCATGACAAGTCTCAGAATCTTCCAGACCCAGACACTTTTACATTTGATACCCCCAGAAGCACGACAATGGCCCGGATGCGGACGGGAGCTTTGGGGGGTGGATGAGCCACGTTTGCGTGATATCCTGAGTAAAAACGTACCCACACCAGAGTCAAGATGGGGACTTTGCAACACAAACCTAGGAGTTTTGGGAGTCACGCATGACAAGTTTCAGTCCGTAAGGTAGTGCAAGTTAGCAAGTGCAGCCGCATCACAGATTCATCTGCTCATCCTGTTCACAGCATCACAAATTCCAAAACACGACTGGAAATGGCTCTCATGGGGATGCGCATTACAAGTCTTCCTGTCTTTGCAAATCTGCATTACAACTCTGGTGGGGGTACGTTTTTACTCAGGATACGTGTCCAAACCACCGGCGCTGATGAACTTGAACGAAAACTGCTGGGATTCCTGTAAGGTGCGGATGGGCGCGTGGAAGGGTCACTTTGGCCTGAAGAACAAAAACGACGATGGAAAACATGTCATTGAAAAAGGATTAAATCACGCCGTTAACTTCATGAACGGGGTTGCAGGCGTCGTTGGCGAAGTGGCGAGGTTCGGCTTGGCGGGCGATATTGCGGAGAAAGGAAAGTGGCACGAAGCGGTGTCGGGGAGTTGTTCCTACT